GTGAGTAAAGAAATGTGGATTGAGATTTGCTTTGTGTTTATTACAGTAGGCACCTAGTAATAAATGGCTGATGGATAAGATAAAGGGAATAATAGTGTCAAAGGCTAACACAGAAATTCTCAGTCCTTAATACACATAAGAACTACCTGAAGTGTTTGTTTAGAATACAGAGTCCTTAGTCACCAGAAATTCCAATTCAGTCACTGGATTAGGGAGGAAATACGTAACTTGGGTAATTCTAATGCTCACACCATGAGGGACACTGGGCTAGAATTATTGAAGCTCTTAAAAGGGAGAAAACACAGAATGTGGATAAAGAAACCTGAAGAAGAGAAGATAGAAAAGGAGATCTGAAAGGAAATCAAGGAAGAAAGAAAGGAAAACTAGAAAGTAAAGATGTAACTAAACTAGATGAGAGATTTAGAAGAAGCATGAGGGTTTATGTGGATATGGGTGAAAAGAGACAAGCAAAGACTGGTCAGAGGTAAGAAGTCAAAAAATAAAAATACTGAGGAAATTAAGGCTTTACTTTGGATTTAAAAAATGTTTACTACCATTTTCCTTTATAAAAGTAACATGTGCTCATTGTAGAAGAGTTGAAAAACAAAGAAAGGAGAAGAAAAATATACTCTTAGTTTGTTACTCATGAATAGCTGCTATTAACATCTTGGTGTATTTTCTGTTAGTATTTCTTTCTGCTTAGTTTTTGGAAGGTTTTGTTTGTTTTATATAGTTGAGATAACACTGTGTATGCCGTTAAACACACTGCATCTAACATCAGCATCTACTAACATAAGGTTATTAATGGAAACTTCATTTTTAACATCTACCTAATATTAAAAGTAGCCAGTTCTCCTTTTTTCCCTGTTAACAGAATTCAGGTTTGTTCAGGCAGACAAGGGCTTAAAAGAAGGCTGAATCCATTTCCATGTTTAGATGTTGATTTTTGTTCAGTCTTAGCCAATCATGCTATAATTCTATTTCCCTGGTCAGTGATTGACTGAGGAAGGGGCAAGCAACTTACTTCTGGCCAAAAAAGATATAAGGGCAAGTCTACAGGTTGGGTCTGTGGCAGAGATTCTTAGTTATTAAAAAGTGATACAAGGAAGACATAATCCCTTTTGTGCCTATGAAATGTGTGTGAGGAGGAAGCAGTGGAGCTGGTGGTTGGAGCTGATGCAGCCATCTTGTGGCCATGAAGGGAGCCCAGGCTACACACTAAAGATGGAAGAACAGAAAAGTGGTAAGAACTGGGCCCTAGATGATTTGTCACTCCAATTAACTACACATACTTGGGCCCTACCATAAGACTTATTTTTATGTGAGAAAATAATTTCCTATTGTTTAAACCTCTTTTAGTTGGGTTTTCTGTTTCTTACAGTGAAAAGCATCCTAAAAGATATAGCATTATAACTTACTTAACAATTTTCCTCTTGTGGACTATTTAGTTTTTCACTATCAGTTTTTGCCTTGGTTAGTTTCAAGAAAAAAGTTACATTTTACATAGCTTAGATAATAAGGTAGTTTGTGTTGGGAGGAAAAAACAACAACAAGCAAGCAATTTTAAAAAAAGAAAGAAAAGAAAAGAAAAAACAGGAACGAACTTGAAATATCTCAGGTCATCAAAGCTGAATCATTCTGAATGTCCACTCCCTTTATTGCTCATTGCTGTCAGCAGAGGTGGTTATCAGTGGCAAGTTACATTTAAGAAGGAAAAATTGGGAAATGCAGTTTCAATACAACACACTAATAAAGGTGAACACTAATAATCCTACAGAATACAAAAGCCATTCCTGTTTGGAATGTGTTATATGGTTTCACCAATTTTTTTCTTTCCTTATTATAATAATATTAAAATTGCTTTGGTAATAAGAGAAGCAATCTATTATATCATTACTTTTTATATTAAAATTTGCTGTAGATTCTACAGTGTTTAATTCACATGGATCTAATCTTTAAGAACTAATGTTTCCCAAGTGCCTTCCACAGGTAAGTTGCCCCTCCAGAATCAAAGTTGGGGCAAAGATATCTGACTGAACATTATTTAAGCGAAGAAATCCAAATGTCTATGCTAACATCTGAAAAATGAACAAAAGAAATTCCCAGTAACTGCTTCTGATTTAATTATTAGTGGTAGTTGGGCCTATTATAATTTGAGATTTTAGATTTGTTGACTTTTTAAATACTTAGTTGTCCTAGAGTCAAATTTTAGAAAGAACTCCTCATGTAAAAAAGGATGTGCTGGTGCAAAATAGCAATTTTAATTACTACAATTATAAAGCACTAGTACTATAATGACCTACATTTCAAGACTGACATTGGTAAGAACACCTAACACACATTCATAGTTTTACATTAACAATTGATTACAATGTAATTCACTTTTAGAAACTATTTTTAAAATCTCACACGTAGATTACAAAATGAGATTACAGTCACAGCTCAAGAGGAATACTTAACTGCTGTTCATGAAGTTCTTCGGCACTGTGGTTATGACTTGTGATATTTCTTGCTCTTGTTCTCTTGCCAGTATTACTGATTCATGAATTGACCAGAGTAGAGGGTATAAAGACAACACAGGCTAATCTAAATCTCAAATAATGATTCTGCTCTGAGCAACAACAACAAATAAGCAGATCAGTTTCCTAAGATACGAGATATCATTTTCCCTATGATGTCTCATAGCTTTGTCTCACGTAAGATTCATTTCCTGTATACTTGGCCAATCTAAAGAAGAAAACAAAAGCCAGAATTTGGAGAGGAACCCACTGTTCAAAAGTTCACCTGAGATCACGAAGAGCATGTGGAAAGAGTCTACTGTGACAGAAACTAGACCTTTTCTGAGTCTACGGATGCTGGATTTGTGAGTCTAGATTGGGGAGAGCTGTTAAATTAAGCCCTATTATAGATTTTTAAATTATCTAAGTTGTTAAGATTCCAAAAATGTGCCACCAGATATATAAAGGCAGAAACTGATCGTGAAGATCAGTGGAATCTAGCACAGGGCTTGACACATGAAAAGCACATAATAAGCATTTATTAAGTGAATGAATAAAGTATAGATAAATTAACCTTAACTTTTGAAATAGTATGTGTATGGGAAGGTAACAGCGTTCTCCATTTTTTCCTCTGTTCTTCCTCTTTCACTTCTGATTCCCATTTTTTCAACTAAAATAAATGGAAAAGAACAGTATTCTGGTTATATTTGTCAATGTATCCCGATGACAGGGATTTCAAGCTTATACCTGCAGCTTGATAGCGAGCAAGGGTCATTCTTTGATAATTTGACTGAACCCTGTGCAATAGAACTGTGACACTCATAGTCAGTAGATGTGGGTGGAGCTGTAAGACTGACTACATGGGAAAAGCCTGCAGGATTAGGAGGGCTCTAGGGACAGTCAATGTGTAACCCTGTCCTGAAGAACTCGAATCTTCTGTACCAAGGCGGGCAGAATCTTGAGAGACTAGGGGTAGGGAGGTCACTCACTTAATTCTGGACAAACAAAAGAAAACAAACAACTGTTTCATTCCTCTAAATACCACACACACCTCTACTCCATACTCTATTCCTGCCTGTTTTCCTCAGTGAAGCTTTGGGGCTCATCTCATGCTGGGGAATGCATTTGGAGTGTGTATTAGACACACAGGCTAATTAGACACACAGGTGAGTGACACTTTGTGGGAGAAAATTGGTCTCCTATGAGAGGCAGAAGTAACTTCCAGCCAACTTCCCTGAGAACAGGATAAGCAATGAATCTGGAACAACTTTTGAAACCTCTTTGTAAGTTGTTTTGAACAAGGCTCTGGTGAGAAATTTTAAATCTAGTCCTCAAATCCCTACCTACCTTACTGGGGTATTCTAGGGTACAATCATAAGACATGTTTCCTGGTATTGCCCTGAAGGTGAAGCATGCCATTCCCACACAAATATACAAAATTTTTCAATTCTGAGAATTCTTATGTCACCCTGTTGTTCAGTATTAAACAGTTTGTGAGAACCTACTGAGCCACTAGGCCACAAGTTTTTCTGTGTTCCCTCTTTAAGTTCAATCATTTTCCTTACAGTCTCTGCATAATACTATCATTTATCTCCATCCAAAGCCCTCCACCCAAATCTTATATTGTACCTCGGAGTTGTCATTATACTAGTGTCATATTGCCCAGGAATCATTTGGGATATGTTGAAATGCCTCAGACGGTAATTACATATTTGCCATGAGCTCTATACATGGGGTAACCTGCACTTCTGGCAATTTCCCAGGGACAAAAGGCCAACCAGTGATGGAAACCTTCCTAGTGACCTGACTCAGTTTGCTTTACAGAAAAATCCTAACCTTCTAGAAGAAAGGATCTCCACCCTTAGATGTATTTTGTGCAAACACAAGTAAGTAGTTTCTCCTTTCTCCTCTTCTCCTGCATCTTCTTTGGAGCCTGTATCTTCCTGCACTCTTCTGTAGAAGGATTTTAGATTTCTCCCATGAAGGAAGGATAAAGTCTCTGTCTATAGTGATAAATCATAGTGTTCAAAGTCTAATGGTAAGAGAAGTTCCCCATCATAAACTTTGACAATAGGTCAAGGACTTTTAAAGAATTGAGTGGCAAGAAGTTCCCTTCTCCTCTTTGCTTTACGCTTCTTCCCATCCTGTGCTTTCAAGTAGGGCAGCCATTAGAGTTGCATGTAATTAATAATCATTAATATATTGCTTTTATCTGCAGGAATAACACACAAAGAATTGAATTAACCAAAAACGGGATAAAATCCTCAGGGATGTCAATGTTAATATCTTTGAAAAACAAAGGGACAGCCCAAGTGTCCAGTCCCAAAATACCACGGTACAGGAAGTGAAGGGCTGCAGTTTCAGTAAGGGAATTGTGAGATGTCCTACTTTTAAAACCTAGGGATAAAGAATACCTTTCAGTATTGAATTTTTAGAGGCAGCCCACTCTTCCAGAATCCAGAGGAAAGACAGAAGTTAAATAGCATGACACTTTTGCAGAAATGTTGGCACAGAAAAGAAAAAGGTTTATTTTGAAAATACACTCTTTAAAGATAAATTTGGCTTCCATTTTCCATATCTAGGTGCATCCAAGATACAAAAACAAACAAAACAACAAGACAAGACCCACGACATTATGTACAGAGCTCTAAAATGAGCCGTGAATATCTACAAGAAACTAGCATATGCTCTCTGTGAAAGGATGTAATGTGTGGCTTTCTACAGTTCTGGAGAAAAGTTAACTCCCTGGAGCTGCAGGTGCAATTGCAGCAAGGGAAGAGCTGGGGTCAGTGAAGGGTTGGGGGTGGGAGCCCTGGGTAGGAGGCGTAGAGAGGAGTCTGGGGAGGGGAGCAGCGGCGGCACGGGACAGATCCTGGGCTTCTCTAGAAGTCCTGCCGCGGGGTGTGAGTCAGGCTGTGCCGCCGCAGATCACAGTTTCGCCTGAACACTTTGCCGCACTGCTCGCAGCTGTAGGGCTTGATGTCTGTATGGGTGAGAAGGTGAGTTTTCAGATTACTTCTCTGATTAAAGGTTCTTCCACATGTGGGACATTTGTGTGGAGATTCCTGTTCAGATGTGAAGCAAGCAAAGGATTAATCCTTCACACCAACACTGCACCCTTCTCAATAGTTTCTGTCTTATCGGTATCACAAGCGTTAACATAACACGCGCACGACAACAAAAGAGGGGACTTGCAGGAACAAATCTGTGCTCCTAATCCTCCAGTCATGAAAACACACGTGCAGGCACACAGAGGCCCGATTACTCTGATAACCGCGGAGGCAGACCGCGGCCACTGCAGCGGGCTTTGTGATTTCCAGCTCTTCACATTTCATCACCATGTCATAGACAGGAAAAAGGGAAGGAAAAACTCTAATCCTCTCTTAAGGAATGATATTCTCCCGGGTAATAAGGCTCCTCTATGCTAGAAAATTAAACTATTCCTCCATGTTCTGAAAGCTACAAATTATGAGGCCCCTGGGAAAGAGAGGTATGGGATTTCACCACGCCTCCATTATCAAAATTACCTTTATTTCCTCCCAAATACGAAAGCTTTAAATGCAGGGCAGATCGGATAAAAAAAATAATAATTCTATAATTAGGATTTACTAGAAACAGAGTAGCCCATTCTTTAAGAAAAATATAAAATGCTTTATGTTCAATAAGATTAATTTTATGTATTTAAAAAACAAATCAAGAGCGTTGCTTTTCCTCACCTAGAGAACTAATCCAAATAGTCTTTTAGGATAAAGACTCTGCCATTCTACACCCTCTGTAAAGCAATAATGATAAAATGAACAAGTCACTGTTTTTAAACAAGAAAACAAACTTACCTGCATATGTAAAGTTTTGTGAACTGCTAGAGTTCTAGACTGACAAAATCCTTTCCCACACTCCTGACATTTGAAGGGTTTTTCTTTGGAATGGATATACCTGGAAATCAATACAAGGTTTCATTGAAATGGATTTACCCCCACGGTGAGGAGTTTCTTCTGACAATTACTCAAAACAAAGTCGTGGAAGAACCAAAAAAAAGAGGATTTCCATGATTTATGTTTTTAGATTTTTTTTTTTTTTACCCTTTGTAATTCTGTTCATGGTTAACCTCAACTAACAGACTCTTTAAAACATTCACGGCCGGCTTTAGCTACACTACATCGCCCTCTCTGGCGTATTCTGGAGCTCGAAATCGTGCCGAATGAGCCCTTCCTGCCCTCCACGGTTTTCTCTGGGATGTAAACTGGTCAAATCAGGATGTAAGGCAAGGCCGAGTTTAGGGGGATTGATTTTAGCGAATTCCTTTACAGCCGAGGATGATGGGTACAGAAGTCCCACCTTGGGGAATAGCAGGTAGAGTCCTGAGAAGACACCCCTCCACCCCAACTCCTGGGAAGTTTTCACCCGATGAAAACACTTACGTTACAATATTTCTTCAACTGCCATTTATTAATGCAGAGTTAAAGGTTGTGGAGGGAAGATGGGAGCTGTTTCTAAATTCAGTGACCTCAAGACCCCTGCAAATACAGTTTAAAAAAAGAAGGGTCCCCGTGGCAGGCTCAGGGGCGCACCTGGGAGGGAGGGAGGGAACCCAGCAGGGGTGGCCCCAGCAGATTTCCAGAAATGGACCAGCTCCCATCATGGGAAGGACTCCAGAGTCCCTCAGCTTTTCCTCTGCCCCACTCCCCACGGTGATGGGGAGGAAACCGGATAATGGATCCCAGGACCAAGGCTAAGCCACCAGATTTTTCCTGCCCAAGGATGGGGAAAGGAACGAGCAGGGAACAGCGAGGGGGAAAGGTAGATGGGGATTAGCTGAAGCGGGCTGGGGAGGGCCTTTGGGAGTATATTCTTTATCAGAGGTGATTTTTTAGTGACACCTGGAATGTCTACAGGACTCGATGTCCTGAGCAAATTCGCCTTTTCTCTTCTGTACAACCTCCTTTCCCACCTCACCTGTGATCCCGCAGGTGATCTTGCCTCCGGAAGGCCTTGTGGCAGATGTCACACGTGTACGGCCTCTCGTCTGTGTGGGTCCTCTCGTGGATAAGTAAATTGTAGGATTTGGTAAAGTGTCTGCCACAAAATTTGCAGATAAACTCTTTTTTCGTTTTGGAGGGCAACCTCCCTCGGGAGGGCTTTCTGTCTGGAGTCAATTTACTGAGGCCCGAGATGGGGCTACCCAGCCCCGGGCTCAACTTGGTCAGGTCTCCTATCTTAGGGGGATCCTCTTGCGTGGCGGCCACGGCCAAGTTGGCAAAGTCAAAACGGGGTCGATCCTTGTGCAGGGCTGGGAGGACGTGGGCAATGGCCCCCTGCTTGGGATGGAATAGGTGGGTGGTAAAGGGCAGAGCTGGGAAGGGGAAGCGCGCGTCCACGAGGCCCTGCGCCGCCGCCATCTCGGTGATGGTGGAGCGGGTGATCTCGTGCACATTGGGGTACCCCAGCGTCCAGTGGTTCATGTGCATGGTCTGCACAGCGCTGAGACCGTACAGGCCCTGCAGGTGGTCCACCGCGGCTGGAAAGGTGTTCACGGCCTGCAGGAAGGAGTAATTGGTGAGCTGAAGCGACGGGTGGAGTGGGATGGGCGCCGGCAAGGCCTTGCTCCCCATTTTCCGGGATGCTGGAGGGCGGAAGGAGCCGCCCCTTTCCTCCAGGACTCAGAGATGGGTGGGCGTAGGGCTCCGGCGAAAACCCAGAGAGACAACAGCAAGCAGAAAATGTCCTAAAAATGGCAAGGGGAGAAAGAGAGAAGACCATGACTAATATCCAAGCCGGGTCGTCTGCCCTGTGGCTCCCGCGCGGGTTACACCACATTTCTTCTAAGTCTTCCTCCCAACCATACTGCAAGACCCCCAAAAGAAGCCGTGAGGGGACCGCGTAGCGCCTGCCTAGCAAGTCTGCACGGAGATCGGGCCCCTAGGACGGGCGGGAAGTGGTCCCCTGGCGAGCAGGACACCCCGGCAACGCTTCTGGGCGCCCACAGGGAAGTCGGACGCTGGGAACGCAATGAGCGGAAGACTCGAGTCCAGGGAGAAAGAAAGGCAGGCAGGGGGGCTCCAGCACCCAGCCCAGCCCAGCCCACCCACTCCCACACTGTCAAGCAAAGCTCAGTCAACCGCGACGGCCCGCGACGCCAACGCCCGCGGGCGGTGGCCGAGCCGCTGCGGCGCCTCCTAGCTCCCCGGAGAACGACGGGTTGTGGGTCCTTCTCTCCCGACTCCTCGCGCTGCGCCCCGCGCGGATCGCCCCGCCCTGCGGCCGAGGTTCCCGCGCTTACCGGCGCCATGCCCGGCGTGCGGGAGCACGACCGGGGCGCGCTTCGTCCTCCTAGGCCAGAGGGCCCTGGAGGGGCTCAGCCTCGCCCCGCGCTGACCTCGGAGGTTTTCCCTTTCCTTCCTCTGCCTCAGTCCCATTTATCAGCAGTGACGGGGCCGCAGGAAAGAAAAGTGACACCTTGGGGGCCTCGGTTCAGCCTGTAATCGCCCCCTCCTCTTTCTCAAGGTCTGCCTGCCTCCCACCCCCCACCAAGATCCCTTCCAGATGGCTCAGGCTCCAGGTGTGAGGGGTGGGGGTCGGAGAACGTCCCTGAGGCCGGAACCCGTCTTCCCAGACTGCGCGCCAGGCTCTCCGGAGGCCAGAGCGGCTTCCCCGCCAGGCATGAGGAGTGGCCTCTACACCGGGGAGGCCCCTGCAGAGGAGAGGAGAGGGCTCCCTGGGGAAAGAAAGGGAAGGAGCTGCAGGAGAGCCGCTGCGGCCCTGCGGGCTTGGAGGTGCGTGCACTGGAGCTCCTGCCCCAGGAAGCCCGGCCTGGGTCTGAGGCCTGGTCTAAGCAGGGAGCTGCTCGCTCCCTGTGCCCGCAGTGGCAACAGTGAGGTTTGATTTCAGACCTGGGTGCCCCGGAGCACTTCACCTGCATTCACGGTGGGCCCACCTTCTCCCACTGACGGCCGCCTTTTAGAAGCAGTTCTGCCAGCTCGGAGGACCACGGCCTGCCCTCTGAGGACGGCCCCCTAGGTGCGAGACGCAGAGCTAATCGCTTTCCCCGGAGAGGGGCAAGCAGGCTAGTTTGTGCCACCGACCACCACGCCTGGCTCCTGGCGTTTGAGACCGACAGGAAGGTAGGAGAGTCGGTTCAGCCTTCCCTCTCCACCCACCCCTTCTGCGCCCGAGCTGTCTTCTTCAGTGCGTTGTGAAGTGTTGTCTGCGGCTCTATCTGAGCGCAGACTTAGGGGGCTGCGCCATGACATAGCGCTCTGGCAAGGCAGAATCTGGCTTCCTCCGGGGGGCCCGCACCTTCCTCCTCTGTTTGGAACGGCTCTCGGAGACAGAGATTTATTAATGAACCGCTTCTGCCTGGTGGTATGCGGACTGGGAGTTCAAGCTGGGAGTTAATGGAGGTGTGTAACAGTCAGAGGGTCTCAGTCAGACCATTCAACCGAAACTGTAAACTCCCGTTAGTAATAAACTTTCCCACCACAAATCACGGTTCATTTTTGTTCAGCCGCAACCCGCAAGCCCTCTCCTAGGGAGGTAGGAAAAAAGGATTCTATTAACATCCTTGGTAATCTATCTGATTATTTCCCCTCCAATTAAAAATAATAAATTATACCTTTATTTCCTTCCCTTTGAATAATGAGGATTTTCCAGAGATTGAAAATATTATTTTTCTCTTAGTGTTGAAAAGCAGCCTCTTCCCCATAGGGAGGAAACCAAAATTATTATTTGGGTGTATTCCCAGACTAGATTTCTTAGAAATAAATACAGGAGGCAAATCACAACTCCTACCATCGGGTGTGTATGTGTGTGTGTGTGGGGGGGGGGGTTGGCTGAAGGACTTTCATGACCTGTGATTTCGATTCCAACTGCAAAAAGTGAACTCTGCCATAAAGGTTACACGTTAATTGTCAGCAGAAAGTTGTGTGCCATCTTCCTCCTCTTTTCTCCAAATGGTTTATAACACAGAAATTAACAACTCTATTATATTTCAGCTTCATGCTGGCACACAAGTGCTATTTCATAGGATGTGTTCCTTTTAATTTGCAGGGCAGATAGTTTTTTCACAGAGGAAGGGCAAACCATTGGTGCCTTCTGAAACCCTTTTACAAACAGAACTCTAAATATCCATCAAACACTCTTGTCATAAATAATTAGGCAGTTTAGATTTCCACCCTGCCTTTGAGTTGCTGGAAATGTGTGTCAAAAGATATTTTCAGTCAATGCAGAGATCCAAAGTACTTTCGTTTTGTCTAGAACCAGCCATGTAGTTCCCACACTCCCTTTCAGGCAATAATAGAGATCATCGCGTACTGTCATTTCTCCACCATCCCGATTGGATCCATTGGTTACTTTTAATTTTGCAAGGAAAGAAACTTAAACCAATGGAAAGGCAAAAATATTCTGGTGGACCTGAGGCTACTTTTCTTTCATCAGTCTTCTTCACAGAAATTTCTAGGCATGTACAGAAGTTTTGCAAAATTTAGTTCACGGGATGTCAACAAGGGTGATGTGTACATACTCATTTCATTTCGGTGAAGCTTTCAGAGCACTGGAGAAAAAAGGGACATGGTAATTTGATAAAGACTCTCGCTCTTTGGTAATGGTGTTATTACACTGAATTATGTAAAAATGATATACAGTCAAGGTTCATCTGCTAAAACTTGTGCATTGGTATCTGAGATAAATGAGTGATGGATCGAAAGGGTCACTGAATTTCAGCCCAAACCACTGTAGAATTTTACATAAATCAGACGGCTATAGTCTAAGTGGATCTAAGGAGATCATAAAGAAAAGGAAAAGGCCGGGCTGGATCAGGTGAATAGAGAGAAAGGGCCGCGAAGTTCCTGGCCCTTCGCAGCGCCTCTGCCTTCCCAAGGAGTTAATTAAATTAAGATGACTTCTGCATAATCTGGGTTCTGTTTCTCTCTGCTCTCTCGCTACCCCTACGTGAGTAATGTTCTTGTTCTGCTCGGGACTGCAGTTTGTTTAGCTGAGAAAGTAGCTGTCTGCGCCGTTTCGCTCCGGGAAACGCCAGCACTCTTTTGTTCTCTGCTAACAGGTAGGGAGGCTGATCCAGCGCTCTCTCCACAAACACCCGTTCTTCCTACAACCGCAACTCCTTTCTCAGTTGCAATTTCTCGAGAATCCAAGGGTTTAAGCCCCTGGGGAGTTTGCCTTCCGCGCCCTCCACCAGGACTAAAGGGTGGGAGGAAAATCAAAAGGCTAGCTACAAGGTTGCTGGGCAGGCACTGTGTTTTCTGGCCCGTCCGCGCTGCGCTGCCGCGGCTGGCTCGGGACAGGTCGACCCGGGCTTTCTAAGGCAGGGGCAGAAACACCGTGGGGCTGTGGGGATTTGATCTCAGCGTACGTCGGTCAGCTTTTGTAAGAATTCTTGTTGACACCTTAGATTGAATGTCCCAAAACAAAACTGAGAATCAGTACATGCAAGTGTGTGTGTGTGTGTGTGTGTGTGTGTGTAGGTGTTCGCTGGAAGTCGCGTGCCGCGGATCCAAGGAAGTTGGAAACAATGCCCCGGATTGCATCCATTTGATTTCTTTTCACAATATCTGAACTTGTGGCACGCCAGACCAAGAATCCGAGCGCCCCCTCCACCCTTCCTTCCTTCGGACGCCCACAGCCCCTTCCCAGAGCAGACACTCACCTCCGGCAGAAAGGTCTGCCTGGGCAGCGCCGCTCAGACTAGGTCCAGGCAGCGAGGCGCACAGCTTGGAAAGGTCATTGGGTCCACGCCGGCCAAACTTCTTCTTCCGCGCGCTGTCCCGGGAGCCGAGGACATGATCTGGAGGACAGCGATCAGCGAAAGCGAGAGCGGATCTTCGTTTTCGTCAGTCTGTGGACGCGGAATGTGCTAAGACCCGGGGTGCTTGGGTCCGGAGCTCAGCGCTAGCCCAGAACCCCGCGCCTCGGCGAGCCTCTCGCCGCCGACTCCGGGTGAGGTCGGAGCCCGCAGCCTCGCACGGCCATCACCCTCCAGCAGCGAGCGCGCCGAGCTCCGTCCCCGCACGCGTCCCTCCCCAGGCTGCCCCGGGCCGGGAGTCCAGGGCTTTAGTAGCAGCCCCGCCTCCGCTTCGGGCGGGCGTCCCGCTGCGGCGCGGGGCCCACGGCTCCGCCTCCGCGCTCCGAGCCCGCTAATGGTCCACTCTGTTTACTTGTGTTTGGATAGCAACTGAGTCTTAAAGGCACAGGTTTGCGGCAGGTTTCCCTGTTACAGAGAAAGAGCCGAAGGTGACTCAGTTCAAAATTCACACACAAGCGCGACGCCCACCCCTTCCCTTCTCGGTGCCACTTTTCCCTATACCGTTAGAAACTCAACAACTGGTTCTTTGACTCTCAAAGACCCCGCAGAGAAAACCAAAGGGCGTTTTGTGTTTTTACTTAGTGAGTACGCTGGCTTAATTTCCACATCTTAACACGTTTAACACAACCATCTTCGTAGGGTAAAAATCAATTAGGTCTAAATTATATTCCCTCAATTTTAAATACTTGTGTACACACTTTTGGTCAATTATGACTATATGTGCAGTCTGCTTTCGCCTGCTGTTTTCAAGACGAAGTTTGTTTACTGAGGTGACAATTGACTAATTTTGTAATTACTGCAAAGAAGAAGAATGTCCCAGGAGAAATTTCTTCTAATATTTAAGCTTTAATCAGCCAATATACATTTCATAAGTAGTTAACCAACTTAGTTAAAGGGGTGAGCATCTGCAACCCATTGGCAAACAATAAAGAATCCATCTGGAATGGGTGAAGAACAATCATTTTTAAAATTTAGGAAAATACTGTACTAGCTTCTCAAAACATGTACATCTTTATTCCCAGCAAAAATTGAGTTCATTGTTTGGTCGCCAGGAAAGTTAATTAAATTTGAAGTGCAGTGATACATTTTTCAGGTTCTTCCAAAGGTTTGCTCTTGTGTGAGTGCAACTGCAGAACGCACTTCAACCACTCTGGAATAGGGTGACAGAGTGATAGGAAGAGAATGACACACACCCATTTTAAATAGCTTCTTCTCAGATGAGATCTGTTTGAGAAAGACTAAGCAAAATGCCTTTCGTCCCAGACGAGTCGCCAGAGGGGATTTGCGTTAGCCCACGCTTCGAGAAGCGTAGATCTTCCATCCAAGAGGTTGTACAATTCAAGTGTTCCGCCACAAGATGGTTTTGGATAAGACTCCCCAAAGGACAATTAAAATAATCTCAACCTTGCGGGGAAGTGGACAAATATAAGCACAAGGCTATTACATCAAAAGATTAAACTGACTGGAGAGGCCAGGCAGAAGTCACAAGAGACTATTTTATTAAGATAAAACTCTCTATTTTATGTATACCGAAGTGAGTAGAATTTTTCGTTCTTTTGGTAAAACATAATCCAGGGATAATGTTTTTCTTTCTTCCCAACTTTAAATTTGCAAAGATTAAAAAGTGAGTTTAAAACGGGGCCCCGAGTGTTTAATATCTTGCAGTGCTTTGTTTCAAAGTAGATTTGACAAACAGCATGGAAGTAGCAGAATGCCTGAGTTCAGTTTTTTTTTTTTTTTTTTTTTTTTTTTTTAAATAAAAAGAAAAATGTTTTCCCTGGTGAGTTCCATAGGGGTGCTTTCATTTTAGCTCTCATTTAGTCCGGATCCTCAGCTGCGGAGATGCCTGTGGTCCCCTCTCTCCAACCGCCTCATTCCTTCCGCAGCTTTTCTCAATTTGGAAGCTTTGGAGGGAACTTTCTCTTCTTTCAGACCCCCCAGGACACACACTCATGGTGTGGTGACCTGCAGAGTGCTCCTGCACTATATTTCCTTTTCACCAAAGAGGAGGCAACTCCCCAGCGGCGGGCTTCACACCTTTCCCGCCCTGTGTGTATGTGTGTACGTTGGGTGCGGAACCGCCCGCTTTTCCCGCGGGATAGACAGAATTTCTAACCCCCCTCGAGCTGTGCCCTCTTTCAGAAAACCTCCTGAGCCCGGGTTTTTACAAAAACGTGTTTACCTCTCACACCTCCGACTCCGATGTTCCAAAATGGAGTCTGGGCCACGCCGACCAGAGCGTTGCGGTCGCTTGAAAGGTAGGGAAGAGTCAGCGAGCTCCGGGCTTTGGGGGGAGCCTGCTGGCCCCGCTGCCACAATGGGCAGGTGCGCGCCCGGCGCTGGGGGCGAGCCGGAGGCTGAGCGCGGCGCGGCTGAGCGCGGCACTGCACGCCGGACCCCCCGCCCCACCTCCCGGGCTACCTCTACACCCCTCCTGGCCCGGCCCTTGAGTTTCTTCGCTCAGACCCGGCAAACCCCTTGCTCCGGCCGGTGTCTAAGGCGCAGGCACAGCGGAGGCCCACCCCCTAGCAGCTCACCCGCCAGACTCCCCCGCAACAGCGCCGGCCGCAGAAAGTAGGCCACCGGGCCCACGGGCGACTTGTGGGGTCCGGGCGTGCGGGGAGGGAAGTCACGGAGCCTGCAGCGGCCCAGCTGCGCCTCCGGAGCCGAGTCTCCGCGGAGTCGTCCCACTCCCCCTGTACCCTACGGGAGCTGCGCTGCCGGTTCACTCTGAAATTTCCACCGACCGGGTCACCTGCTGTCTTCGCAGCTCTAGACTTTCGACACCAAGGACGCTTTCAGAAAATGGCTAGAAGACTGACGAGGGGCGCGCGAACGGTTGCTGCCCCAACCCCAATCGCTGCAAGTTTACGCCCCTGGAAGCCAGGATGAAGGCCCTGGAGAGGAAGCGCGGTGGAGGTGGAGGAGGAGGAGGCAGGCAGCGCAGACCCCTTCCCCGGGCCCACCCAGGAGGCTCTGCCAGCTAAGCAGCGAGCAGGTGTCAGATACAGACTTGCCTGGAGTTGACTCCAAGCCTCTCCCACTCTGACCGTGCGCTGCGGACATCCGTAAACTTTTACCCTTTAAAAAACAAATTATGGAAACCTTATATTTTTGTAGGGATCCCAGCTGCCACTACCTCTGAGGACTCGCCTCCCTTCTCCCCCAGCCTTCCATTGCCTCTGCGGGGCGGGAACCTTTCGCATTTGAGCTTCCCCCACTGTTTGCTGTTTTTGTCTGGTTTGTGGAGGAGCTGGGAGCCCAGATAGTCCGGGTCTAGCCGCACTGTAGTCCCCGAGTAGTGAGGAGGCTCGGGGAACACAGAGGAGGAATGCTTGCACTAGGCTTAGAGTTGAGGGTACGGAGGCAGGGGCCAAAAGACTAAGAATCTTATCTCTAAAGCGCGTCCGAGCCCGCGCTCTAAACACGGATGAGGTGGGAAAGCACAGCGCCGGCAGGAGCTTAGCGGCCGGCGTGAAGAGCCGCAGCGCCCCCTGGAGGCGCAGGCCCAGCACTGCGTGGCGCTGGCTCAAGGGGGCGGTCACCCTAGCGGCGGGCTCCGGGGTGTCAATGCGTGGCCACCAGCGACGCCGACGGCCGCTTGGCTCTCTTCACCTGGACCCGAGCCCCTTCACTGCCGAGGAAGAGTCGTGTGCGCGGCAGGGGTTCTGGGAGAGGATCTGGGCCCTTCACTAGGGCCAATAAGCCATTCTACCTCCTCCACCACTGGGGCCTTTGTGCGGGCCCCACGCTGTGCTCTCCCCGCCCCCACCCGACCCCAGCAACTTCTCTCCAGGCGGGTTTCTAAGACGGATTTTCAGACCCGTGAGGCCACTCTGGGCTGCCCTGACTTCCCCGGGGCAGGGACTTCGCAGGCGGTCCGGTGCTGGGCAGCTCAGATTCCAGCAGATAACAAGGCCCAGATAATTTTCCCGGCGAGAGATGCAAGAGGGGTTCCTCAGGGGACCTCATTCGGAAACGTTATTCCACTTCCCGCGACCTGCCTCTCACTCCACCCCAGCATTTGAAGCGTTCTCGGGAAGGGATGCCCGGGCTGGCTGTGCTCTCCCGAAGACTGAGAGCGGGCAGAGGCGGGTCGCGATGTGCGCCGACGGCGCGGGGGCCTTCCTGCAGCTGGGGGGCCTGGGGACCACTCCGCACTCCGGCTGTCCAGTCCTCCGGGCCAGCCACCCCAGAGTCGGGCGTGGCCGGCCAGTCTCGAACACCCGAGGCCAGGCCTCTCCTCACCCATCCTTCCCCCAGGGAGAGGGTGAGGAGGGCGCACTGGGCCCGAGGGAGCTCTCCGAGTGCCTGCGTGCGCCCTCGCACAGCTTCGTTCCGCGGGAAGCCGCGGCGGGCCCCCTTCCGGCTACCGGGCCCGGGGCACCGAGTCACGGGAAAGGGGAGCTCCGTGCCGAGGCCGAACACGGGGTCGCAGCGAAAGTTACGTGGCCATAGCTGGGTTGCTTCCTTGAGCCAGGGTCCAGTCCGGGTTTGGATTTCCCGGGTGAGGCCCTCGGCCGCGGCAACATCGAAGCCCAAAGCCCCCTCAAGGCCACCCGGCGACCCGTCAGCCCCTGGCTAGTCACGAGATGCCTCCGCGGCCCTGGAGGGTGACAATGGCCACGAGCCTTCACGCCGCTCGCGGTCCCGAGAGGTGTCGGGAGGCAGGAGCCGTGCGTGCTGGGCGCGGGTCTGGCGCAGCTGTCCCGAGGCCTGCGCCGCACGCGACGGTGTAGGTGCGGGCTCCCGGGGTGCGCAGGAACAGGGCGCGCTGTCGCCTCCCAGTGTCCCCAGGGAAGCGGATCTCCCGCAGCTTGCCTCGCGTCAAAGGACAGCCTCGAATCATGGTCCTTTTCTAACTGAGCCCGTCAATGTCAGTGACGAGGAAGACCAGGTTTACAGAAGACATTGGCAGCCGAGGCCAAGACCCGGGAGCGAAGGCTCTGCCGACGGTGTCCCCACTGCGGGACTGGCCCAGCTCTCGCGCTCCGAAAAGATCGTCCTCAGAAAAGACCAGGCAGCGTCTGTAAACCCGTGTTCTTATTAGGTTTTCACGTTGTGTGTGTGCGTGTGTGTGCGTGCGTGCGTGCGTGTGTGTGTGTTTTAACGTACTTGCCAACGCTTAAACATTGGGAAAATCCACTCAGAAGTCTTCATTTCCAGTGCGCTCCGTTTCCATGCGGCAGTGAGCTGGCTGGAGTTCAGCAGCCCTGCTCTCCTGTCTCCGCCGTGTGTTTTAAAAATGCCGGCCCACCCTCTA